GGGAAAAGTTATCTGACCTTGGGTGATGAGAGCGTGTATATACGCAGTGTAACTGTTCTGATGGAAATGCATCTTGAAGTCAGATAACGGATGAATAACTGCTTTCTTTGAAATAATATGTGCCTCAGTATGAAGATAGTGCATGGTCTCTTTTGCTGGCTACTTTTCTCGCCCCTCTTGGAAGAGGGAGGCTTTGCATTTCTAAACATATGGAGTGTGGGACCATCCTTGTGTGACAGAATGCGTGGCTGATATTTGTGGAAGCTATTAAAGGTGACTGTTGCATACCTAAGAGGGTAGAACCCAAAAGGACGTTGCAACATCTGAAGTCTCTTTGCCGTTGCCAAGGACATAACCCTTACACTCTTTAACCAGGTGCTTAATGTGTTAAGCTTCCCCTCACCCTCTCTGTTCCCGAATTGCTTCTGTGGATTGTTTTCAGTCCTTGTGCCAGACAGCCCTTGAAGTAATGATGTTAAAGGTAGCATTGCTCATCACTGATGTCAGATACAATTTTTCTGACAAGTCTGTTTCAGTCAGCATTTCTGCATGATAACGTCCAAAGGTTCTAGTACTTTAGTCAACGTGGGAATATTCAATTTGAAAATAACGCAAAGGGAAATGTGAATCAAAATTGTTTTAACAATTTCTAATATTTATAAAAGAGATGCAGAATATGATGTTGGAAAGATTTTTTTTTTTTTTTTCGTCTGACTTATAGAAAACAAACCTAATACAAAGGAATCACAGACATTTTAACATAAAGTTCATAGGTCACACAATGTGTAACCTTCAGATATTTGTGGAAACTCAGCAAACAGTGATCAAATCGAATCAAGCTATTTAAAATAGATATAAATGAACAAACAAATAACTCTGGTTTGATCTAGTTTTAAAATGCTACCGTTTCCTCCTCCCTCAACCCTACTCCCCATTTTTTAATCTCTTTATATAAATTATTTGGAACAAAACAATTTCCTCTGTGATACTGTAAACCTTAGTCTTTTTAAAAGAGTATTAGCCGAGTGTGGTTTTCTTTTTTTCTTGTGGGGTTATACTGAATAAGGAGCTTTTAAATGAGTACAGTGTTTCTTAATCTGGAGTACTGGATGACTTCCTGATTGTATGTGACTGACCCATTGTGTACTAAAAGCAAACTCATGAACTGTTCACCTTGTACTGTTTTGTGTGTTGTTGCACTCAGAAAGTTCTTCCAGATACACAGAGTATTGTATCAGATTGCAACTCTTGCAAAGATAGCAGTAAATTGAAAGGTTTGGTGAAATTGCGTTTGTAATGTTTTGAAAAGTTAGCATGCTTTGTAAACATTTAGACTGCTTGCTGCTCTTTCCTTGAAGCTTGGGTTTAGGGTCATGTCAGCTTTGACACAGAATAGATCATACTCTTCACATCTTTGAGACTTTCTAGAGCTCAATCTCAAATATCTGTTTCTGATAATAATATGTTTTATAGATTGGGAAGACGTTTTGTGTGTCGTATTTACATATTGCCATTTAATGCCATTTAAGGAATGATTGTTCCATTTTGGGGTTAGAAATGCCCTCAACTGTTCTATTTCCTGAAAAGCGGTTAAGTTCAGTTTCCTATAACAATGGAACAATTCCGTAGTGGATGTTGATGAGATCCTGTCTCTGTTTCCTAGAAACATTGTTTCTTCAAGGTAATTTGAGCCAATATCTGGTCTTTTTGATAGTAGTGCATCTTAATAGTAGTTAAAATTTTTTTCTTGCCTCAAGAAAGGAATGTTTCCCAGACAAACAACAGTTTATGGATCAGGAGCGAAAGCTTCTTTAATATTTGGAATTAAAGAAAACCTTCAGTGTGAATACAGAAAAATACAAAACTTCCTTTAACTTTTTTTTTTTAAATTCAGCATTCATCATGTTTTTCTTCCCACTGTCATCTCTGTTTACCTTCACTGCTCATACCAGATACCTTTTGGGGTTGAGAACCAAGCTAGGAAGGGAATAATACCAGAATTTAGGTAAGAGTCTGGGCTTGTTCTTGTACATGTAGAATACAGAAATAAGGTTTTTCAATGCAGTTTATTTTGAAAAACACAGTATCTGTTTTTATCATACGATTTAGTTTCGTCATTCTCTTCTGAGTTTAGAGATGTTTCATCACACGGAGCTTGAGATCAATCATAGTGTTTTCCCTTTGCTTCAGTGTTTGTTTCTGTTAATAGACTTAACAGTAATAGCATAGATATTGAACTATTTCTTAGCCCATGGGGGTTTAACTATTTCTTGACCCATTCATTCTCAATACTGATGGTGGAGAGCCAAGGGCTGGGGAAAGCTGTGTGTGCTCTAAAACAACGTCAGAAAAAGGGATCATATTGTTCCTAAACAGAACACTTTCTTAGCTGTGCTAGGCTTAAAGAAGATACAGCTGTTCTTTATTTTTCTTGTTGTATCAAATCACTGATACACTCTGTTTTTCTTGATATATAAGAAGAGGATTTATACTCCAACTCTGTTTTTATTGATATATAAAAAGAGGATTTTTTAAAGCTAAAGCAATTTACAAATCCATATATTGCTTTATTTAGCAGGTGGGTTTTTTTTTTGCTATCTGAAAAGTTTTTGTTTCTCCTGAGGCATCCATCTGGAAAGCATAAGTTCAAACGAAATTTCTTTCTTAACAAACAAAGCAAACCCAAAGCAGTTCTGGATTTTTTTTTTTCTTTGATTTTTTCTTTCCTAAGAACATTCTGCTCTGTATGTTGTTGCAGCAACATACCACTTCAGTGGATATTGATATTTTTTTGTTATATTTCATGAGGTTCTTCCTAACCTTCATGGTAGCCACAGCAGATTTCATGTGTGATAGCTGAGGGCTGTTTTTATTTGAAAACAAAACGTGAAGTCTCTGGAAGAAAAGAAAAAAAAATAAAAAAATAAAAAAAAAATTTGCAATTTCTTAGGGGACAGTTCTAAGCTTTCCATACCCTTTGGAAAGATACACACCAAACTTTTGCTAGTAAAACTAGTTTATTGCTGTGTGTGATAATTACATTCATATGAGCAATTTTGGGTATGGAATCAAAACCACTTTCCTTTAGTATCACTTATAAAAGCATCTGCTGAAGTCTTAAGGCATGTTACTTAAACATGATGATTGTAATTTTTGCAGGTTTCTGTAGCTGCATCAAGTGCTGGAAGAGGATCTCCAGCTGTATCTCTAGTGCAGTTGCCTTCTGGTAAACCTGTTCATGTCCAGGGTGTCATTCAAGCCACACATCCCTCAGTCATTCAGTCACCATACATGCAAGCTGTTCAGGTTAGCTCTTTTATTGTTACATTTTCATGAATATTTGGTGCCTCATAACTCTTCCTCCCAACCTCATCTTCAATTTCTCTTCATTCCTACCAGTGCTGCAAGATTTACTCATACGGTGTGGGAAACGGTGGGGGAGGGAAGTGGCAGACTGCCAGCTGGTAGCAGCTCTACAAGCATTGTGTAGCAATTCCTTAATGCTTCCTGTTTACCTTTTAGAAATTGTGTCTTGAAACCCTGAACTTACGCAGCAGCGAATTTGCGTAATAACGTGGCCTTACTTCAGTGTACCTTGCAGTCTTTCTGTTTTGTTAAATTCTACAAACATCATGTTTCTAATGATACTACAAACTCATAAATTTGCAAGTATCTCATACTGTGTTTTTGGAGAGCATCTGGATGTAATGGAAGTAAACATGCTACAGTCAAATGATTTCTTGTTGTTTTTAACAGGCCCTGTCAGGGCATCTGGTATTGCTTTTTGTGGGTGCAGGTATGTAAAGACCAAAAATAAGCGCAGCCTCAAACGTTTATTTGGCAAACCTTCACATGTGTAAAGGTGCTAATGTTAGGAAACGAGGACCAGTGCAAAATGCTTACGAGGTTTCAGAGCTTTTAAATAGTGAAAAAGGCTAGAGAGAATGAACTTGCAGTGTTTTGAAAATGACTTGGCCTCCTGCTGATATTTTTCTTGTAGCTAAGAATCCCTTTGCTCTGGTTTTCTTAAAATCTGATCATGCAATGTCAACTGAACTGCTTTTTGCGAATACGGTTGATATCTCTGGTAAGAGAGGCTATGCACCTGTTTGTGTGAGCTCTTTTACCTACAGTCATTGCAGCTTGTTAAGGAAAAGACATGCATTGTCAGTCTTCTTGAGAAGCCACATTTAATATTTGAGATTTCTTAGTAGCTTTCAAGTATAATAAATAAAAAGCTGTATGTAAATATAATTTATCTTGGATTAGAGAAAAAGAATTAAACCTTGGCCAGATACTGAATACGTTATTTGTAAGCAGTAGGTGTAGGTGATAGGATCTGGTAAAGTGTTGAAATTCTGGATTGCTGTTGAAACAGGCGCAGTGCGTGGTGAGAGACTTGGGTTTGGTCAAACTTGAAATCAAATCAGAGTATTCAAAATAAATACTTGTTAATGGAATTCCTTCTAACTGTAACTTACCAGAGTGAACTTTATCAGAAAAGCCTGTTAGTCATTCCCAGCTTCAGTCACTGCTTTTCTTCCAGTCAGGATAGTCAGGACATACAAGCAAAACTAGAGGACTTGCTCCAAAGCACAGAAGGAGGCATTTCTCTGGAATCTCTTGCCAGATGCTGCTATGTCTTCTTAGGGGAGTGGATGTTGATGGTTAGTTGTATTGAGTGAATTCTGGCTGCCTTCCCTTTCCCAAAGGAGTAAAGACAGGAAAGCTGTGTCCTGATTAATACTGACTAGTTAGATCCGGGCTTTTGCTTTGGTTTCATTTGAGGATGCTAATAGCAAATAAGGTGACTCTACAAGAAGGGCTTGCAGATGCAGTAAAAGACTCCATTACAGAGGTTGTTCAGCCCTTCTGTGATCCTCTTAAGTACTTTATCCTGCCACCAGGCATTTCCTCCAGATCATTTGGCTTTAACTTGATATCCTATCTCTGCCAGACAGTGGGGAACTTGGGAAATGACATCAGTTTAATTTAAAAAAAAAAAAAAAAAAGCATGATCAAGGTTGATGTTAAATCTTGCGTGACCTCTCCCTTGAAAACCTGCAGCTTTAAGCCAAAAGGTGCTCAACGTTTTTTCTTGTAATGTTTTTGCTTTGGGGATGAAAAAAATACTTATCTGTATCATGTTCCTTACTGTTTTGTTGTTTTACTTGTAGGAAGTTTTGAAGTTCAGATTGTTATTTGCCTTTTCTACTTGCTACCTCCTGTAATGTATCAGGTATTGGTAGACTAACATGAGCTTGGAGTTAAATTTGTTCAAATGCAAAGCAGTGTGGTAAAGTTGAAGTCTGAATGATGTCTGGGAAAAAATGACGATGGTTTCCATTAGTTAGCATTGTGAACGTGGTTGCTTACTGTTAGAAAAAAACCAAAATGTTAAATTTATCTCTTTGCCTTGACGAGAATTAGAACTTTTGAAATGTCTCGCAGAAAATGTCCTCTTCCATGTTAAAATGCTTAAATCGTCTTGTGATTTCCTTACCTTCTTCCCAAAATATGACTGTTCCTGACTGCTTTGGCCATCTTCACAAACTAGAGATGGCTATTGGCAACCCTTAGTGGAATGGGAAGGTTTAAAGACATGAAGGTCTTGTTTTCCTACTGTTTGTCCTGAGACACATAGATTCTCTGCCCCCCCTCCCCCCCTTCCCACTGAAGGATGAGCGCTCTGTTTATAGATAGGATGCTCAGGCTTTCAGCTGTGTAATACTGTCTTAGTTTTGAAGGTTTATGACCCAGGCTTGAAGGTCGATCCACAAGCAGATTGCTGTAGGGCACTGGAGAGAAATACATGTCAGAGTATCTCTTTGCTGGTCAGCATTGGTCTGTCCTGCAAAAGGATGTATACAAACTGCTTGAAGCTCTTGTATCTCTGCCAGTCAGCTCTGAAGTCTGGTCTGGAGCTATACATCTGTAGACATGCAGAAGTACGTTGTATTATTTCTGGGTAGTCTTTTTTTTTAGTTAGGCAGGTGTAGAGTTTTAGTGACGCTTTCTATGTATTACCCAGCAAAATGAGGCTACATTAAATATTTTTACGCTGAACTGGAATGTAATGAAATTAACAGGTGAAGAGACAACTTCATTCTGTGATAACCTGTAGTTCTTTCAAGGTGTAGTTTTATAGATTTGAGTTGGGGTGACCCAGGCCTGTAACAATCCAGAACCTTCCAGCCAGTTATTTTCTGTTGGGGTCAAGCAGGTTTTGTTTCTAACACCGAACACTCTGGCCTTGCAGCTGTATTAGTTCTAGAGCTCTTCCTTGTCTTCCCTGAACTGCAGGGAACCCTCCACTGCACCCAGGTCAAACACTTGAGCCTTGTAGTCACTTAAATCCCTCTTTTTTCTGTGTTAGCTTAACATAGCGCGCTTAGTCTGAAACTGCAGTCTAGTTGGTCGGTGTGTGAAAAGGTCATTTTCCACACTAACTTTACTGCACTGTTTCAGTTTAGAAATCTTACACACCAATAGTTCTCAGTAGTTAAATGAATCAAGAAAATAGCATGTTTTCCTTGTTCAATAATCACTTTCAGTTCTGTGTAATAAGATGGTTGCTGGTAAAGGGTGTGATTCAGCTCCAAACCTTAATGTTGTCTTGGTTAATTTTAAGAGAAAAAGGATCTGTGAAAATACTGCTAATAAAGGTATGAGAAAATGAGACATTTTAAACTTGTCACGGGTTTCTGAAACTCACACAGTATTGCTAAGCAATATATTTGTATTTATGAATATGTGTTGGCAAGTGTAATAAACATGTATATTTAAATAAACTTATTTTCTAAATAGCTTTGTTTTGGTTGCAAAGAGGCTTTTGTATTGTATACTGTTATTTAAGGTGCATTAGTGCAGTATTCTGTATTTTAAATGTTTAATTTCACTTTTAAATCTAATTGTATAATATTTTTATATTTAAAGAAATCTTCTGTCTTCAGTACTTTTTCTGTGTGTCATTCACAAAAATTTAACCTAGATTTTTTTTTTTCAAGTGGAAAATGTCATCTAAGTGGCTATGTTGCTAACTTCATAATGTGTGATTTGTTTTGGAAAAAAAGTCCAAGATCACACAATTAGTGATAAATAAGTGCGCAAACTTCCTGTATGCAAGCATGGAAGGAATTTTTAAAAATAATTTTTTATTCTGTTGCTATCTATTATGAAGTTATGAATTTCAGAAACTTTGCTATTACAGGTAGCATCGATTGCAGATGAATCTGCAGAATCAGAAGGGATAATTGATTCTCAAAAACGTAGGGAAATACTTTCAAGAAGACCTTCGTACCGGTAAGGACTTTTTATTTTCGTTTTGCTGGTTTTTAAAGGCAGCTTATTGTATTACAGCAAAACTGTCTGATAAAAGCCAGTGAATTAGTTTTCTCATGGATATGAAATTTCAAATATATAAAATTATTTACATTCTTTTTTAGAAAAATTTTGAATGAACTTTCATCAGATGCTCCTGCAATACCGAAGATTGAAGAAGAAGACAAGTCAGAAGATGAAGGAGTGCCTTCTGGAACTTCTGCAATGGCGATGCCAGCCAGCTTATATCATACTAACACAGGGCAATACTGTATGTTTGCAAAGATACTATGTGATATTGTAGAACATATATAGGAACAACTTTGTTTCTAAGAGTTCCGTAATGAAGTAGAAATGTTGGATTTTGGTGGAGAAGAATGAGAGCTTCTATATTTTAAATAACTTCAATTTTTATATTTAATTTCTCCTAACATGGACATTATAGGCTTTTAGTCTGTTTCTTGTCATGTTTGATGGTTGCTAGATTTAGTCCTTCTAGAACTCCTGTGCACTAAAAATGTGGAAGTGAGGCTCAGGTGAAATGAAAAATGTTGATATTTTGATGTGAATGTTCAGTGTTATAAATCATTGCAGTTTCAAACTACTGTGATTTGCTATGTATTAGTGCTGTTCATTACATGAAATGACAATTAGAGTTAGATTTTTTTTAACGTGTAAGGTTGGAGTATGAAACTATTTCTTAACTTTGAATTTCCTTTCTGAAAAGAACTGTCTCTTCCTCTCCAGAGTTCAAGTATGAACACATTAGCTGCAGAATTAACCTAAATTGTAATCTCCAACATTTGATACTTCATCCAAACGGAGGGTAAAAGTTAGATTCACGGTTCTGTTCTATAGATTTTTCTAATTTATTTATTCCTGCATTTGTGTTTAAAATGTTGTGTAACTCACTCCCCATAGCTTCCTTGGGCTTATCATATATCATCTAAAGGACAGAAGTTCTAACTTTCTGATAACTCTTTTTTCAATTGTGTATTGGGTAAAGCTTCACTCCTACAGTTACTTTTTTTGTCATGTCTTTTCATGTGTAGCCACACTGGAATGCAGGTATCTTCCTTTGATGTAATGACAGGAAAATTGCACAAGAAATGTTGTGTGTTTTTTTTCCCTGAAACAAGAGAACAGAGGAAGTCTACTGAAATATTGCAGTGACATATAAAAGAATAGAATGGCTCTCTGGTTGTATTCTAGTCACCCTTAGATTTCTTCAGTTGTTTTTAATTGAAGTAAATAAAGTAGTTACCAGCTCTGAGAAAGCAGAATTTCCTATGATATTATGTACCCCTTCATCATAGGAAGTAATTTTGCTTGGGCTCCTAAGCTGCTTTTCTTGCCCATTCTGTAAAGTATAGACGTATATAAATGTCTGCTTCATGATGTCCAGCATCTGAAGTGCTCTTTTCTGTGGACTTGTGGTCATGCTAAATGACAGTTGTCCAGTACAGAATCTGGCAGAGATCCTTGACAAATTATTTTATTCAATTTTTGAATTATATTTTTGGTTTGGCTTAGATTTAGTTTAAAAAAAACATATTTGCAGTTTCAAGGCTTAAAAAGAAGTGCTGTAGTGTCTGCACTATGTTGTAGTGAGCCTCTAAATCTTTAGGATTTCTAAGTTAGGAGTTTAGGTTTCTTAGTCATGTATTCCTCCAGGAAACCAGCATTGTACTTTTACTAGCAATGTCTTGCAGGAGGTGATTCTTGCTTCTTAATTGACAATTTTTTAATTTGAACATAGCTATAAATCATAGTGACAGGGTAGTATATAAAAGAATTAGGAGATTCATAGGTTTTGCTTTCTTGTTCAATCAAACATTTACTTCTGAAAAATCAAACAGCAGAGAGCATCACCAACAATGTGCTTGAATTAACGCAGTCCACAAAAATTTAATTACATCTTAATTTAAACTTGGCTTTTGCATGAGCCAAGCGTGGAAGATATCTGGTTTATGCTACTTTTTCTTTGAAAAAGTTATATTCAGGGCCTAAAAAATATACTGTGTATTTAAAGTAATTTAACTTGTTAAATAGGTTCTCAGCCATAATGAGCCATTGCTTCAGGATGCCATGTCAGCCTGCATAGGCTCTCCTGATTCTGGCTCCAAAAGTTTGTTTTGAGAGCTTTGTCTTCCTGGAGATGGTTTTTCTTATCCATTTTATTAGTTCATTAATTTGATTATTATTTTTTTATTATTTTTTAACTTTGAAGTTAAAATATTGCATGTCTTTTGCTGCAGTGAAGCCTGTGTGTTCTCTCTAATTCTGGTTAGGAAACATTACATCAAAATCTTTCTTAGGAAGCTGATCATTACCCTTAAACATATTGCTTGCTGGCAAAGTCAGATTTCAAGTTGAATCCAAGTGGTAGCAAGGCTAGTTGTCCCCTTATAGTGGGAGGGATCTGAATTTGGAATTTACTAAAGAGAGCTTGACTGTTGACTTCTAGTCCTTACACGTACAAGGCACAGATCTGCAACATTTCTGACCAGCTGTCCTGCTGGCTGCCTGTGATCCTCAGGAACTGCTGTCAGTTAAAACTGGGAACACTGTGTACGAACACAGCATCTCCTGTGTTGATTACAGTCTGGATATGATGCAGAGGATCACTGCATGTGTCTCTTTTACCTTTACAGCTCTTGTCAATAGCTTTTCTGTTTATCATTGTTGTATCTGAGTACTCGTCTCTTCTTGGCCAGCGTTGGTTGTGTGGGTTCTCTTGTGCAGGCATCCAGCAGTTTATGCATAAAGCTTGTATGGAGTCCATGGCAATGAAGAACTGGTTTTGCAGTGTCGCTAAAGCCATCTGTACTGTGCCCTCGTGTAAAACAGATGTTACTATATCTGCTTCCTTAGTTTCTCTGCTGTTCTCTCTATTCCTGCATAGGAAAGACAGTTTTGTTGAAACGATGACTTTGACTGTATGTTGGTGTCTTAATGTCTGGGGTGACTATTTTTGGAAGAACTTGATAAGTAAATTTTTCTGAAAAACAAATATGTTTTTTCTGTTAGCAGCAATGATGGCTGTTCTTTGCTTACTTTTTACTCGCGAAATGGTATGTTGCCATGGTTTCCAAATATCTTTTTCCTCAGAGTTTCTTGGCTTTGGCTTATGGAAGCAGATAGACTGACAGGCATGACCAGCTAGATAAAACGTCTTTCCCAGTTACCTCCATCAACACATGTCTTATCTTTCTGTAAAGGGAATGGATAGTTTTGCATAAGGCAGCGTCTTGTGTATGAGCCTTGTAACCTGATTTGACTACAAGCCTACTCTGTTGGCTGTAGTTCTGTCATGCTGGTTATTGAATACTGAAAAAAAAATTGGTTTCCCTCACCTGTGGTGGTGGTCTAATTGTGTAACAGTTGTTTGTTCAGTTAGAATGCGTGAATCAACTGCCTCTTCCTCCTATTTGCCTACGTGTGTGTATCATGGTGTTCTGTCTGAAACGATGCAGGGGAAATGAAAATTACTAATTCTTTTGCCATCTGTTTGGGTTACTTGCTATCTTAGGATGGGTTTTCAACAGTTGGAGAATTAAAAATATCTTTTGGGAAAGACCAACTTTATTTGCTTTTCCTAGTTTTGGAAGGGAGGGAGAGATCTTTTTTTTCTGGGTTAGAGCTGTTCATACTCAGAGAATGGTATTAGTATCATCTCCAGTCCTAGCTAGAAGATGCCACGTACATCCATCCACCTGCATGATGTACGACTCCAGTGACTGTCCAGGAAAGTTCTATACTCTTCAAAGAAGGCATAATTTCCTGTAGAGCTTCAGCACAACAAAAGCCTGTGCAGTGGTTGAGATCGGGACAGTGAATGGGGTAGGGGCAGTGTGGTGTTCTGGTGATATGGCAGGAATCAGCCCCATAAGGGAGACATTTACTGGAGTTAATTCACTCTTACTTAGGAAGTACTGGATTGTGATGTGAATGAATAATTACAGAATCACAGAATGGTAGGGGTTGGAAGGGACCTCTGTGGGTCATCTAGTCCAACCCCCCTGCCGCAGCAGGGTCACCTACAGCAAGCTGCACAGGACCTTGTCCAGGCGGGGCTTGAATATCTCCAGAGAAGGAGACTCCACAGGCAAACTGGGCAGCCCATTCCAGTGCTCCGTCACCCTCAGAGGGAAGAAATTCTTCCTCATCTTCAGACGGAACTTCCTGTGCTTCAGTTTGTGCCCATTGCCCCTTGTCCTGTCGCTGGGCACCACTGAAAAGAGTCTGGCCCCATCCTCCTGACACCCACCCTTCAGATATTTATAAGCATTTCCCCTCACAGCCTTCTCTTCTTCAGGCAGAACAAGCCCAAATAATTTCAGGACAGCTGTGACATAATTATACACATACACTTTGTATGATTCTCTGCTCATGTTTTTACTGCTCAGGAACCCAAACTGACTTTTTTTTTATGTGGGATGGTACAGTGATGGTGTAGACATACCATTTCTTGTGTTAACTCTATCAGAGGGAGAATTCAGCTGTGTAGCTTCGCAGCAGGATTTGTCACCTCTACCTCACAGAGAAGCTCATGTGCTGCTGGGAACCTGCTCTTGTCTTGGATACTAATAGAGGAGACAATGATTGTTCTTGCTTCTGTCTCTTCCAGCCAGACCCAAAATGGGGCACTTTCTGCTTTGGAGGCCAGACTGATACATCTTGCTCATTTTAAATTTTTTTTTCCCCCTCCCTTTATTCTTTCTGGAGCATGTGTGCAGCACCCAGCTAGTTCCTACGTTACATGTTCCCTATTCTAAGGGTAGGACTGGAGGTACATGCTGAACCCTGTGCCAGTATTATGATAGCACTCTGTGCTTTGTTCAGTGGGAGAGGAATTCCCCATTTTTTCCAAAAAGAAGCTAATTTAGTTGATGGGATTTGGTAATTTTGGTAGATTACTATGTTCTCAAAAAAATAGCTGAGCTTCTAGTAGGTAGTTACTATTGTCTAACTTAGTAATAGTTTACTAACCAACTGTTAGTATCTCAGTGCTCTTTGAAGTGTTGTTGTCTGATGATGCACTTTCCGGGTAACCTACGATTGTCAAGACGGAGCATTTGAAATCAACTATCTCTAAAACTCACATGGGTGTCTAAATCATGTATTCAGATAACCAGAGCTGAGCGCTCAAGAATGTCATGAAATATTTTGAATCTGCAGTGAAATCAGAGGAGCTGGCAATCCTGAATCTATACTTACGTGTGACTTTTGTACCATCTCAGACCACTTCAAATACAATGACAGTGATTGTAGTTTAAATACCTTTTGGGGGAGAAAGAAGTTTGTTGCTTCTTGGGAACTGAGTTCTCATCTACAAGTTCCAGGAGTATTTTAATTAGCAAAAGAGACATGGATTTGATGGATGGACCACTCGGTGGATAAGGAATTGGCTGGATGGTCACACACTCGATCAAAGAGTTGCGGTCAATGCCTCAATGTCTGAGTAGAGACTAATGACAAGTGGCATTCCTCAGGGGTCGGTATTGGGACCAGTGTTATTTAACATCTTTGTCAGGGACTTGGACAAGTGAGATTGAGTGCACCCTCAGAAATTTTGCAGACGACTTCAAGCTGTGAGTTGACATGCTTGAGGGAAGGGATGCCATCCAGAGGGACTTTGACAGGCTGGAGAGTGGGGCTGTGCAAACCTCATGAAGCTCAACAAGGCCAAGTGCAAGGTCCTGCACAGGGGTCGGGGCAATCCCAAGTGCAGATATAGGCTGAGGGATGACGGGACTGAGAGAAGCCCTGCCAAGGAGGACTTGGGGGGTTTTTTATTTTTTCTTGTATTAGAACTATTTTAGGAGAGTTAGTATTTCTGGAAGCAGAGAGATAAATCATGTGGAATGCAGCTTTTTATCTGTTATACACATGACATGTATTACACAACAGGCTCTATATTTATGAAAATCAGAATTAACATTATGTAAATTTTATTGTACAATTAATTGATCTTTAGGTAAGGAGAGGATCAGGAGTCCTATTAGACAATGTTTATTTTAAAAAGGGAGATATATTTTTTAACATGTGTTGTGTCTCGTTCTATTGCCTAATTTTTATTTTTCTTTTTATGTTTAGTTACTATATCTCAAGGTGGTGCAATCCAGATTTCTAATCCGGCCTCTGATGGTGTCCATGGACTACAGACATTAACAATGACAAATTCAGGAGCTCCTCAGCCAGGTGCTACCATTGTGCAATATGCAGGACAGTCACCTGATGGCACACAACAGTTCTTTGTTCCTGGAAGCCAGGTTCTTGTTCAAGGTATATTTTACTAGTCTACTGCATTTTAGTTTTTTTCATATGAAACAATTTTTATTAAAAGGCTTTTTATTTTGTGTTGACATTATTGCACTATTAAATAAAATATTTGTGCATAACAAGATGGAAGGCAGTTTTAGGAGGAGACTCAGTTTCTCTGCTCAGTAAAGCAGCTATTTCTTTTGATTAAAAAGGTTACGAGGAGGAAATAACAGTATGAAATCACTTTCTGCTTTGAATTCTTTTTTTACAGTAAAGGTGCTGCTACAGACTGAAATGAGATGCTGAGGCTACATCTCATTTAATATATGAAATTAACTTGTTTTTTTTTTCAGCAGTTAATCTCAATAAAACACAAGTTCTGAGGTTCTTTGGATATGTTTACAAGTCTCTAATATGACCTTACTACAGATCATCTTACGTATGCTAGAAGGTCTGTAGGAATATAATTTATGAACATTTTTCATTTACATACACTTTGTAGTTGACCACCTAATATCATGATAGCACAGGTAGGAAAGCAACGTTCTGCTTAGTAATCTTTCTACTTAGGTATAGTTTTATAATGTTTTTGGGTAGACGGATATAGATTTTGTTTGTAATAATCACAGAAGTAAAAGAAAGAAAAAAAAAAAAACCAAAACCAAACCCCAAATATCAGGCCTATGGCAGAAAAGATCTATTTCAGAATCTTTCAGCTAGCATATATATACTTTTTCCAAAGTATTTGTTGAGGAATCTCATCAATAATGGATGGCATCACATAAACCCTGTGCCTCATATTTTCTGATAATCTGTGGTGGGGAAAAAGGATTAGTATAAAAGTGCCAGCTGAATGATATCTCATTTGCTACAAGCTTATATTCATAGGCAAAATAAGAGGCAATTCTGATGTCCTGACTGTTTCCCAGTACAGGTTAAGGGTTGTTTTGGTAGCTGAAGCAAAAGAAAATGTTTTATTATTAGTGAAAATGAGTGTAGAAAAGTTGTATCAAAAATCATTCTGTTGGGATCTATGTATGTTTTTGTAATATAGTCAGTGATATGAACAGTGGTATTTGAGATCTGTGGCTTGAATTTCCTGCGTGCTTCAGTTCTGATCTTCTGTTCATGTGATCCTGAAGTGCTCCTGTAATCACAAGGCGCTCCTTTTTTTGCATTGGTGCTTCCATTGTCCTGGGCATACTTTCACAGTGGATGAATTACCAGTCTGAATTTGTTTATTACAGGCAAAGGCCTTAGTAGTTTGCAGTGCCCTACATACAGACCAGTGCCTGGACTGTTCTGAAATTAATTTCATTTGAATTGATGTAAATAAGTAGTAACTCTGTTAGAGCTGAGATTTTTTTTTTATTTTAATTTTTTTTATGCTTTAACACTAAGCTAACCAGATCTCTTGGATTTATTTTGAAAAAGAAGGGAACTGGGGAGAGGTAGCCCTTATCCAGAGTTACTGTTCTGCCTGTTACAGCATCTGAAATCACTAGCTTTAGGTTGACTTTGTTGGAGCTTTCTTCAATCTTTTCTGAAGCTTTTGACTGAAATGAAATGAGTGGTTGTTCCCCCCACACTGCAAGAAGCTTTAGCCTTTCATTTACCTATTCATTACGGCTTATTAAGCTTTCCTGTCTTGCACGTCTGCCCAGCAGAGTTCTCTGCCTTTTAGTGGAACTGCTCCAATCAAAACAATTGCATGTCTTTTTAAAATTTCCCTAATTTCTATCCAATCATGGCTTTATCATTCTGATTCATTAACGAATTCTAGAGCCACATTCTAATTTCTGTCAGTCAGTGCTGTGAATTTTCAGATGCTGCTTTGTGGTGAGTGCTTTCTGTAGTTTTATGAATAATTCAGGGAAAAAGAACAAAGCGAGGCTTATAGAAATATGGAAGAGGAAGAAAGAAAAAAAAAAAAGGTCTACTGGAAAAGGAGCTGTCTGAGCTGCAGTTTCAGTGAGCTGTTCCAGTGACAGAGCATATTAATGACAGTGGTAAGCAAGTGAGGTCACTGTGATGTCAGTGCTCTTGCTTGTAATCCTGCACATGCTTGCTAGTTTGGAACAGTTCATGCTGAGCTCTGGTAGAGGAACAGGAGAATCGTGTGTGCAGAAGCTGATCATGGCTGTAACAGGAGATGAGACGGGTAAAAATTTTGTTTGTCTTTTACAGTATATTTTTGGATGCCTAACCAGTGCTTAGTCGGTATTTGTGACATTTTCTTTTGAACCTGTTGCTGTAACTCTTTCATGTTTCAAAACTGGTACAAATAGCTTCTGGTTATATCTAGTAAGTGTAGGATCTCAGGGCAGTTTAACAGTTTCGTTTGGGGGGAAAAAATCACTGTTAGTGCAAGAACTCATGCACTAGATTGATACAGATAACTAATCTTTCTAATTTACTGCAGGATTTTGCTGAAAAATCCACCACTCTTCTTTTAAATCCTTCTTTATTGTGGAGATAGTTGTATGCGTTATTGTGTTTATAATGGCTTTTCATTTTGTGAAAGTGACACTGCTTTTTTGTTTAGCAATAAACACTTCAGATTTGATAGCTAAAATAGGCTTAAGTATAGCTGTAAGAGAAAGTAGTGCAAATAAACCCCATGCTTTCATTATTAAAGAAAATACTGAATGCAAACATTTTCGAGAGAGAGCAAGGATCTGAAGTATTGTAATGCCTGCTTGTTTTCTCCTCCACTGTTAAAATGGTCTGTTCCTCAGCTAATTGAGTTCAAAAGGCTGACGTCATTAGATTTCCTGGAATCGTGTTGCAGTAGGGAACTGGAAAAGTTAAACTCCAAACAAGGTACACATTGACATCAGCTCCAAGTCATGCTGCGATTTAGTCAGTTCCTTTCTGCTTCGTCAGTTGCCTCCGGCAGAGCTGTAATGTTAACCAGCTCGCAGCCGGTACCTACGTGCTGCTGCTCGTTGCTGGCACATATTGTTTCATTAATCCAAAGATAAATATCTTCTCCAAGTCCACGTTTTGGGTTTTGTTTTTTTTTTAATGCTCAAAGGAATAATGATTCATGCCTTGTTTAGCCAGTTTAGTGGCAAAGGTAAAAACCCTTTGATAATCTAGTCCCATCATTATGACTCACAGAAGGGGAGAACAGACATCCTAATACACAGCAGGCATCAAGCTTTTCTTCTGGATAGTCACTGGAAGAACTCCAGTGTAGGGATGCTCTCTAGTGTTCAGCAAGTTACTTTTTCCAAGAACCTGCTGATACAAGGTGGTTGATTTTTTTAAAATTTGTTTTTAATGTGTTGTTTTTTTTTTTAATTTCTCAGAGCTTAATTTACAAGGTTAGTTTTCTGAATGTGGTTTGAGGTTTTTTTTGTTTGTGTGTTTGTGTTCCTGTTAATAAGTTCCATTTTGTAAGTGTCAACTCAAAGCTTCAGGTTTTCGGTGACTTTTTACTCCCTTGCAATTTTAAGGAGGAAAAAAAAAAAAAGACATGACCTGCAGCAGTGTTTTAGGGAAATACACCATCTCCAAGTTTGTTGCTTTGTTAATGGTCTCAGTCTGATGTGTTAGGAGTAACTTTAAACCTCTGTGGGGTTTCATTAGAAATGGTCACAGAGGTTTGTCAGTCTGCATCAAGGTGTGTGGCATTTTTGTCTGAGATGCTGAAAGGGAGGGTACCCTTCTCTGTAATATTGTGGATACATTACCTGACCTAAACTATGAATTTTTTCAAAGGTATTTTATTCTTCCTGCTTAAAGCGTGTTTCATCTTTCCCAATGTCTTTTTTTTGGGAAACAGTATTTTATTGTAACTTTTTGAGATATTATACAAAAAATTTTGCAGACTTCGAAACAATTCATTTGCTATAGTGTATCATAAAACACATATTAGTGCACAACTAAAAGATACTTTGTCAATGCTGTGCTTGCCTTTTTTTTTTTCCAAACTGCTGTGTCTGGGTTTACAAGGTCTGTACCAGCAAAATGGTTATTTATCTCTGTTTCCACCCTGCTGCATTTATAAGTCAGCCAACTGTTCAGCAG